GGTGAGTACATTAATTTAGAAAATAACTACAACAAAAACCGAAGTAAAAATATTGATAATTCATTTGAAGAAATTTATTGGGGTTTGTTTACTTACTGATTTTTAAAAGCACCACACATTTTGTAGTTTTTTCATAGGTGAATAGTGATTTATTTTTTATAAACTACTGTGTGATTATTTTTGTGATTAAAATGATGATTTTATGTACAGACTGGTCTGGGTGGCTATTACAAATGGTTACACAGGAGATACACATGCCTGAAAACATTTACAACACGTAAATGTTTACATTAGAACTCAGTTTTCTCTGTTGAAGGTTTCTGGTGACATGATGGGGAGTACCTTCATCCATGTGACAGCTTGCCTCTAGGGAGCGGCCAGAACCTGAAGGAGTTGTTGATAAGATGCTTAAACTTCCTGGTTAGGGCATTCCACGACCAATTGAATGGCTGAGGCTATTAGCCTAGTCGATGGGTAGTTTGTATGGCTTGGGTTCTTAAATAAACATTCAAGTCTTAATTCTGTATTTGTTGCCTTGTCCTTTACACACATCTAAGTAACTGAACATGATATATTTAACACATTGTTCTCTAAAAGTTGTGTGATTGTGACAAGGATGTGTAAGTAATTTTAAATTACTGTTTCTTTGTTTTTTTTCCTCTTCTCTTTTGGATGTGACTTGTTTTTAGATCCTATTATGATTTTTATTGTAAATTAAACTAGTTTTAGCTATTGAAAACTGTCATCATGTATGTTATGCATGTTGTAAAATTCAACCTGCTAGGGGACTACAGATGAAAATGAGCTTGTTTGGCTAAATCTGACATATTTACATGATGCGTTTATTTAATTTTAATGTGCATTGTCTCCTTTATAAAATAAATTCAAATTCAAATGTCATCATGCACAAATTAGGTCATTAAATCTCTTACTTTCATAAAGTTTGGGGCAAACTAATTATTTTCCTACATAATTATATGCATGACTAAACAAAATTGTTTTGTTTTTGTTTGGAAATGATTCATGATTGTAAGCCTTCTCCAAGTCCACAAAACCCAAGTAGACCAGAGAGCCAAACTAACATAACCCCTTTAGCAACTCCAGAAGGGTGAAAATATGGTCCACTGTTCTACGACTAACCCCTAATTTACACTACATGCTGTATGGCTCCGCTCCGGTCTGACCTCTGCAGCAAATACGCAACCATTATAACCAACGACAGTATTTATACCGGCTCCACACGGCGGCATTGCACGGTGCTGAGCGGACGGCGATTCGGCAAAACTAGATCCGATCCTATTTCTGCCGGATGCCGGAGCTGTGCCAGAGTCAATTTTTAAAGATTACGTCACACTAATAGGAAAAGGAACAAACACAACGTCCGTATTAACAAAATAAGACACCATAATTTTGTCGAAATTGCAGCTATATTAATAAATATATGGATATATTTCTGCACAAATGCTGTCAGAATGTATCGTTCTGTTTGGGAAGCAGATGGCAACGTGGCATGAAGCATATGTGTACACACACGTTACACATGGATTTTATTTTGAAATTAGAAGTTTCAAAAAGACGACAGCGATACAGTTTCAACCATAGATATCAAAAGCCTTTATATCAATGTTTTCAGCTGTGTTTGGAGTTCATCTTTCACAGAATTAATTATTTTTTGCTCCGAGTCCACATTTATCACTGGATTTATCATGTGATCTCCTTCCTGCACACCCTCCCTCCTCTGCGTGTCTCACCGTAGCGGAGCTGAACGGAGAGGATACTGTATACATTGGGTTGCAAACGAACAGTTGCAAACGAACAGTTGCAAACTGCGCACCGCAGCGGAGCGAAGTCACATGTAGTGTAAATCCGGGGTAAGATGGAAGCTACACTGCTTCTCCTGAAGCCAAAGTTCAACAATCAGTTGGAGTCTTTCTACTAAGCAGTGTTTTGAATCATATATATCTGAGAAGTCTGATTAAAAGCCTCTCCCACCTCAGGAAGCTACACTTCCATATAATGTCAAACAAGTAACAGAATTTATCATCAACAATATGTACACTATATACTAATGACTTTTCACAAAGGAGCAGCACTCACAGAGATGTCCTTCTGTATCTTCTCGTACGTCAGTGACACAGTGCAGCTATGGTTTGGAGGATCTGGGGTCAAGCTGAAGCTGTAGGAGGTGTTTTCAGCTTCTGTCAGAGCCTGCTGGAGGTCTTGGATGTACTTCTCCTTCTGCATCTCCAGCTCCTCTGCTTCACTGTTCACTGCTGCCTCGCTTACTGCACACAAACAGTGAGAATGTGTTCATGTTCTTGTTTTTTTTAATTAGTGTTTTGTTTTCATTCCGTAAACTGCTACTTTAATTCTCTAAGATTTTTTATAATTAATGAATTGCATGATCTCTATGCATAAAACTCTTATCTGGCTCTTCAGCTAGTTTTATACACGGCTCAAAAAAATAAAGGGAATACTTAAACAACGCACGCTAACTCCCGATCTTAATCAATGAAATATTTGCATTGAGTACTTTGTTCTGTACAGAGTTGAATGTGCTTCACAAAAGTTTGATTTACTTGGACTTAGCGTGCATTGTTAAAGTGTTCCCTTTATTTTTTTGAGCAGAAGTGTTCCCTTTATTTTTTGAGCAGTGTATTTGTGACACTTCCAAACGCATAAACACAGTTTTAAGGCAAACAGTAGCATGAGCCAGAAATGTTTTCATGTGAGCATACAATTACAGCTCAAAGGTTTAACAGTTTGAAATATTAAAATAATCATCTGAGTGTTACTAAGTCTTAAAAATGAGCTAAAATGCAGCCTCAGGTGTACAAATATATTACATGCTGAGGCACACTCAAAGTTTATTTAACAAACACGTTAAACTGAAATACAGAACATGTAGCCAACATAAAATCCAGCATGACAACATAGAGTTCACCCTTGAGGTCACCCTCGCTATATTCCACAGCACCCCCTTTTGGTGAAACCTACACAAAGCATATCAATACAAACCCTTACCCTCTCCTCTCCATGCGTCCTGTCCATCTGTCAGCAGAAGCTGGAAGCCTGAACCCAAGCTCTGACCCTCCCAGTCCACTCGCAGGAAGAAGGACGAGTCAGACAAGCGGATTTCATTTACCGATGTGTGCATCCCTGCAAAAACACAAACCACACACTTTAGATTATAGCAGTATTTAACAATTCTTTGTCCAGAAAAGGCAGGTGTTTGTTGGTGTACATTTGTTTTGGTTCAGTGTAAAATGGCTAAATGTGTACTTTTGCTCTCTGTTTAGCATAACATGCAACACTAGATAAAACCATTAACTCAAGTCAACTAATCACTAGTGCCCCACAGCTGAGTGTAGCTCAGTGTTAAAGTGGTTGTTTCTTGTAAAGATGACTGGAAGGTTCACTCCTCAGACTCTGTGTTTGTCCTTGGGAAAGACACTAGAACACCCACTGCCTCAATGCAATTTTAAGTGTAAGAATGAATAAGAAAAATTAGTTTGTGGAACCCAAATGAATGCGTAGAAGAAATTTTTGTGCATATTTTGAATGTTATTTGTTCATTTTGAATCAATTTACGGTATGCATGAATCAAACAGTAGTATGTCACTAAAACAGTGAATGGCACCCACCCCAGACTACTTTGTAACTACCTTAGCAGCTTCCTTCATTTAAATGATTTACTCTACTGAAGCACACTTTCAAAGTGAAGATAAGCAGTTATTTTTTTTTAGTACTTAACACAAGGCGTAGTTTTAGACCTCCTCAGAGGTCTGTAATTTGATGGAGCTCTCCATCAAATTACAGCTTTGGCACTCTTAAGACAAATTGGAGAAACCTGCAACAAAAATTGAAAATAGTTCAAGACACCCATGATGAATATTTTGTTTTAAACTTGTTAAGCTGTGATCGATAAGACTGTGCGCCTTTACAACACAGGCGAGGAAACAGACAGCCTGCAAACGTCACAGGACCTTCTGGCCAATGTTGTTTACCAACTAGGCACCAGCACCTACAAACCAGTATGATACAATCTGAATGCATTCCTCATTAATACACTTGTTCTTTCCCTACTCTTTCAAGACCCTGTCACACGATAACATTTTAGATTTATGCCAACTTGTAAAAATGTTGTCCAACACTGAAGATGTCTATGCTTAATGTGGACTTTAAAAAAAAATCTACCATACTTAAGCCTCTTTTGGACGTATACATACTGTAAGGCTAACAATTAGATTGAATAAATATGAGTATAATATTAGTCATCACAAAAGCTGTAAGTGCCATGGAAACATTAGTTGTCTAAAACATTATAGTGTGACAGGGCCTTTCAGTCAAAATGTCTTCTGTGAAAAAGGCCTATAGATCTTCTTGCACATTATCCTCTTGATGCTGTTTTCATTTTTCTGCTTAGTTATACAGTTTTTTGAGCTGCCTTTTTATTGGCACTTTATCACGGTGATAAAGTGATAAAGTGCCAATAAAAAGGCAGCTCAAAAAACTGTATAACTAAGCAATGTTGAGATCATACTAGAAATTACAAATTGACCTTTAAATACCCTGAGTGAGGCTTGATTTGCAAACAAAGGCTTAAAAATGTTACATTAAGCCACAGAAATGAGTCTGATATTAAATATATTATTTTGTGCTGGGAAAATCCACCTTTAGGGAAAAAAGTCATTAGGAAATCAACTCCTACTGCTGCTCCTCGAAGGATTTCCATATGTGGTCGCTCACAGCCTGTACAGAGGAAATACCCCGAAGTGTTGTTGGAGGAGGACATTTGCAGGGGGTCGAGCTATTGTTGTTACAGTGAGAACAGAAGGAACACTGAAAGGCTGATGGGAGAACGGATCTGTTAACTATCAAATACCCCATAAGGTTTGGCCAAGAAAACCTAAACACCCCCTCAAGAGGATACTTAAGATCTACTTACAGATTCAGAGTACTACAGAATGAAGAAGCATGATTATCTTGTTTCCAAAACAAGTATTTGTTCCATCAATGATTTATTTTGGCCATAAACTGATCAGTAATTTAAGGGTAATTAACTTGCCAGAAGAGTAACCATTTAGTCAGTGTTTATAACTGCAAAACGGAGAAATGTGTGCATTGGCCGTATTAAGACAGTTCCCAAAAACATGTTCCAGTCACAGCCTCCACGTTTTATTTTGACAGTAAAACTGGGGAAAGTGTTTAGGATTTACAGCTCTTGAAATGTAAAACCCTTTTTTTCCAGGGGCTATCTAACCAAAGAGTTGAATCAAAAGCTAATTTGTGAACAGGTGGTGATAATTTATCGTTTCTTCAGTCCAACAGAGACAAAGTTCTGGAGTGGATTCAAGGTATTGAACATCTATGCAGACATTAGTCAGTGGCTGCAGGCTTTTTTTTTTTTTTTGTAGGAAAATAAAAAAGAAAAAGAAATTCTTATATCATCCCCATTAAACCAATCAGATAAACCAAGCAGAACCACATGGAACCAGAGACTGAAAACGAACAGTGCTGCTTTTACTTGCCAGCTATATCCAAAGAAAGATGGTATCAAAACCGTTTTGTTTTATAGACACAAGCTTTGTTTGAAGCCAAATATTATGGAAAAAATCAGAACAATTTAATTAAATTTCAACACAATCTATATATTTTTTTAAATGCTACAGTCCAAAAACAAATAAATTTATTGCAATTTCATCAAATTAAATACAACCAAATTCTGCTCTACATGAAATCAGTATAGTCAGATTCAGCGTTTCTATATACATTATACTTACATATTGTTAAAATGCTCTATAAGAAAATCTCATTAATTCAACTCACTTTCAAGACTGAATAAAAGTGAATTGACTTCTCACCAACAGCTCACTAACAGGTGGAACAATGTGGAGAGTGATGTCAAAAATGTCAGATCAATGTTTATGTTTAAGAGAATGATAAAAGTCATTTTGTTAAAGACTAATGAAAAAATATAACGTGTATTCATATGAAATGTTGTTCAACAAGGATTCGAGGTTGTCTTTTGTTTAGTTTTTCTTGTTTGTAGATTATTATTACTTAAAAATTTGGGGAAGAAAAAAGTGCAGATACTATAAAAAAAAATTTTCTTCTTTCTGCCGCCTTTCATTTTATTTGTGATTTGTATTTTTATT